GGATGGATGGATGGAGGGGGGGGGTGCGGGGATGGATGGATGGAGGGGTGTGCAGGGATAGACAAGCAGATAAGACAGATTCTACGTGCTGTTTCTGACAGTGCTGGAAACTGCAGGGAGATATTTTACATCTGGGTTCTGCTGCCAGCCCCTCTAACCTGCAGCCCAGCACCCCCTGAGCTCTCTCCAGACCCTGCTTTCCAGGTTTCACCTCTGAATGGCTCAGTCAGTGGGATTTCTAGCCCCACACTCCCCCGTTAGTTGCGGTTGAATCGTGTCGCCAGCCCAGAGGACGCTGGGTTAGGGCGAGTGGTTGGTGCTCTGGGCGGCGTGGCCAGGGGTTGGCTCGGCAGAGGGGAAGGGGAGAAGCGTCTGACTCGCTCCCTGGCTAAAGGGTTAGAGGTGTCAGTTTCACCAGTGTTATTCCGAGAGACAGCTGGGGGCGGGGAACCTGGCCAGCCCCGCCCGTGGGCGCTGCTCTGGGAATGCGTTCGCCTGGTCCGGCTCTCATGTGCCCGGCCCAACTACCGCCACTGGCGCGCCACCTGGAGCGGGCCGAGCCTGGCCATGCATGGCCCCGCAGCCGCAGGGGGAAGGGCGCTGCTGGCCGGCGCTGCGGGGGGTTAACGTGGCCCCCGCCCCTGGTGGCCGCTGCAGGGTGGCCACTGGGAGCTGCTGCAGCCTGCGATCTGGGAGTCGGACGCAAGGCGCCTGATGGCCCCTATAAGGGGCGCTGCACCCCCCTAGAGCTGCCATCAGGCGACTCCCATAGGTTGGTGCTCCGGGCAGCTGACACACCTATCCCCCATGTACCTATCCCCCACCACACACACACACAAACACATACACACATGCACCATCCCCTCCCACGCACCTATCCCCCTCCAGACACACACGTACCTATCCCCATCTCACAGACACACACACACACCCCTATCCCCCACCATACACACCCAAACACATACACACATGCACCTATCCCCTCCCACGCACCTATCCCCCTCCAGACACACACGTACCTATCCCCATCTCACAGACACACACACGCCTATCCCCCACCACACACACAAACACATACACACATGCACCTATCCCCTCCCACGCACCTATCCCCCTCCAGACACACACGTACCTATCCCCATCTCACAGACACACACACGCCTATCCCCCACCACACACACAAACACATACACACATGCACCTATCCCCTCCCACGCACCTATCCCCCTCCAGACACACACGTACCTATCCCCATCTCACAGACACACACACACACACCCCTATCCCCCACCATACACACCCAAACACATACACACATGCACCTATCCCCTCCCACGCACCTATCCCCCTCCAGACGCACACGTACCTATCCCCATCTCTCAGACACACACACACCTATCCCCTCCCATGCACCTATCCCCCTCCAGACACACACACACACCTATCCCCATCACAGACACACACACACACTCCTATCCCCCACCACACTCACACATACACACACGTACCTATCCCCATCACACAGACAGACACACACCATCACCCACCACACACACGTGCATCTATTCCCCCCCACGCACCTATCCCCCACCCCAGACATGCCCCAGTCTCCCACCATACACACACACCCACCCCTATCCTCCATCACCCTCACACACCCCCATCTGCCACCACACACCCTCCCCATCCCCCACCACACAGACACACACACACCCCCGATTCCCCACCATCCACAGACACACATACATACACGGACACACACACACCATCCCCCTCACACACACACACACACACACACCTATCCTCCACCACACACGCACACCATATCCCCCCCACACCACCCCCCCCCCCCCACCATCA